GTCCCCCCCCAGAGCCCCTCCCCAGGCATTCAGGGCAGTTGGTGGACAGGACGTTCTGTTTCTCTGGTCCTGGTGAAAGGGCTGGTTGCAAACATAAAGCAGTCCACCAATGCGTGTGCAACAGGGCCAGCACGCCGGTGCATCCCTGTGCGAGTGTGCGTGTGTGCCTGCGTGTGTCTGTGCGTGCAGGAAATGGGTTGGAGAGGTGGCCAGGGCCAGGGCGGAAGGTCTGGCGATTTGCACTTTATTTCATGCTTATTCTGGGAGCACTGGGAACCTGAGAAGTGTTTTAGGTGGACAAGTGGGTAAGAGTGTGGAGGGCAGTGGCCTACATCGATCTGCGTTTGGAAAAGATCTCCCTGCTGGGTGCAGGACCGACCCAGGCAGGGCAGAATTGACGGGCAGACCAAAGGCTGTGGCCTAAGACACTTGTCCCCCGGCCTGGAAAAAACTGTCCGTTGGGGCTTCGTCTGATGGCTCTTTAAAAATAATAGCGTGAATGATCTATTAAGAGTAATATAATATACAATTTAAAGCGTAACCTTGAACTCAGTGTCTTAGTCTGTTCGGGCTGCTGTAACAGACTGTGAGGCTTAAACAGCAGACATTCATTTCCCACTGTCTGGAAGCTGAAGTCCGAGACCAAGCTCCCTGCAGATTCCGTCTGGCGAGGACCCTCATCCTAGTTCACAGATGGAGTCTTCTCGCTGGGTCCTCTCGTGGTGGAAGGGGGGGGAGCTTTCTGGGGTCCCTTCTACATGGGCACTAACCCCATCCATGATGCCTTTGCCCCCATGACCTAGTCACCTTCCAAAGTCCCCACCTCCTGAAACCATCACCTTGGGCATTAAGATTCAACAAATGTCCCTGGCCAGTGTGGCTCAGAAGTTCGAGCATCAGCCAGTGCACCCAAGGGTCACTGGTTTGACTCCCAGTCAAGAGCATGTACCTGGGTTGCAGGTTCCATCCGCAGCCCCAGATGGGGCCGGTGTAGGAGGCAACCAATCAATGTCTCTCTCTCACATTGATGTCTCTCTTTCCTCCCCACTCCCTCTCTCTCTAAAAAATCAATGGGAAAAAATAGATTCAACATATGAATTTGGGGGACACAGCATTCAGCCCCCAGCATTCAGCCCATAACACTTGGGTTTACAAACTTTTTAAAGATTTAAATGTATCAGTTGATTGATTAGTAGTAACAAGATTTTTTTTTCTGACACAAAAATTATCTGACTTGTCATGAAAAATGGAAATATTATAGTTATCTATGTAACGTAGAGAGGGGAAGTCCTCCATATGCTCTTCCTTCCAGGAACACCAAGGCCTCTGGATGTGTGGTGCAGACACTAACCTCGTTACTGTTACTTTTTACCAAAATCAGTTACATTGTTTGGTTTCCCTTTTGCTCTGGGTGGTAGTGCTTAGTTAGGTCTCCTTCCACATCCTAGTGTGATCCTGCAGCAGCCTTGCTGGAGGCCTGTTAGGAAGGCTGCATTTCAGGGGGCCCCCCAGACCCCCAGTCAGGATCTGCATGGAAGAGCCTCCCAGGTGACTGGGGCAAGTTGACATCTGAGCATCACTGCTTCCGGACCCCTCACTCTTTTCAAGGGCTTTATGGGCGTAATTTATGTAACCAATCTGCTAAGGGTATTTGTTTCCTTTATAAAATGTATATATTTTTTGCAGTATTAAAACATGCTAGAGCCAGCATCCCTGTGTGTGTGTGTGTGTGTGTGTGTGTGTGTGTGTATCCCTGTGTGTGCGTGTGTGAGTTTGCAGGACATGCCTGTGTTTCACAGGCTAGCATCCTAGAAATTGCTTAAGGAAACTGTACAAATATATATTTTTAATTAACAGGTAATTCCAAATTTCCAACCCCCTCTGTGCCAGTTCATCCTCAAATTGGGAGTGAGTGCCTGTCACCACCCCCCTTCATCGACTGTCTCTGGGTTTTCATCTTTGCCCATCTGCTAGGAGAAAGGCCAGCACAGAGCCGCCCTTTGGGGGGCGGGGGGGGGGGGCTGGGCTGCAAGGTCATCCAAACCCCCTTCTTCAACTCCCTTCACCGAGCTGCAACCCAGCCATCTTCCCTCGCATCCACCCCGCCCACCCTGACAGAGAACATTCGGTCAGACCCTGGGTGCTGCCCAGTCTCTTCTTCCGTCCTTCTGACCACGCCTGAGATGCTTCCGTGGCTCCCTGGACCCTGCAGAGCCAAGTCCGCAGCCTCTCCTGGGACTCGAGACCCCTCCACAGGCACTTCAGCCTGTCCCCCTCCCCGTGGACCCTGGATTTGGCAGGAGGGACGGGCCTCACGCTCCCTGACTTCTCACCCGCCCTCTGGCTGGAACACTCTCCCCTCTTGGGCTTGACCAACCCCTCATTTGCTCAGAGACAGTTCCCCTGCCTCCGGGATCACCTCTGTCTCCCACATCTGACTTTGTGTCTGCCCCGGGAAGAGCTCAGCTTCTGTCCCGTCAGCTTCCTGCAGCATGTTTCTGCCCCCAGGGCCCAATTCCTGGCGTGAAGTAGGCACTCAGGTGTTTGCTGAATGAAAGAGGTCACCCTGGGGCAGCAGTGAGGTTCAGAGCCCCCATGTCCTCCGTCTGTGCCTCCCAGAGTGTGATTATCGACGGAGCAGCTGAGCCAAGAGCCGCACAGTCCAGGCGGAGCTCGGACAGCTCTCACCTCCAGCAACCTGTCGGGTGAGGACGGTTCTGTGGGAGAGGCTTCCAGTGAGAAGCTTGGCCTTTGGCGGAGCTTGTCGCCAGGCCCTCGAGCCGGTTGTTTATCAGACGGGAGCTGTCGGTAGCTCAGCATTTGACCTTGTCCACCAGATGACTAAAGAGATGCCGCCGGGTCGTAGACCTGTGTTGACATCTCTTGCCCGGTAAAGACAAGTTAAAAAAAAAAAGTCATAGTTCTATGTTGTGATTTTCAGTATTTTT